TGTACAACCTATTAAACGATGACTGAAAATCACTTTCAAGGTGTGTTCAAAAAAAGACGTACCACATTGTAAATTGTAAAGTACATTGTGAGTATAGTATAGTTCGGAGTGCAAACTTAATTCATGCAAAACAAAATATACGCTTTAAGAAATATACCCATTTCTAAATTTTATATCAGTCAAAACCGAATTGTGGCTTGATGGTTAGATTGCATACACTTTTTTGTTAAAATAGTTCTTATTTAAGAAAACTTATCGTTCATAAGTATTAAAATGCTTTACTTACCAAATTGACATGCAAAGATTACTCTGATTTCTTTTGCTACGATGCTAATGGGTGTGTGGAGATTGATGACCTATACCCGAAAAACGGCGTTTCCTTTTGACTCCTTTATACTTTTAAGATCCTCAAAAACTTGTGTTATCTTTAATAGTAATATCATTTGATTTTTAGCCTAGAACGCTCCTTCTATCTGAATGGAATTTTATTTTGTTTTTGTTTATCTTTTTCTCACTACTAATGTTAGGTTAATTTTTTTTAAGTACGAAATGTTTTCGAAAACTGATTTTACATGCTTTTAGATCATATATAGCTTTTGCCACGATATGAACAATTTTAGATAATTTGTATATAGATATATATTGATATAGTGTTCCTCGATCCGATTTATCTCGTTCTCGGTATAACGTGAACTTCTACCACTGACACGTTCCACACACACATACACAAATGTACACTTGTGATTGCGCAAATTTGGCACAAGACTGTTTTTACAGTTTGCCGCTGAAATGGCTTTTGCCGCTTCTTTCTTTATTTCGATTGCTTCCACCTCTCAAAGTTTATAAAGTGTTTCTCAGCTCGATTCATTCAACACTTTTTCAGAACATTTTCTCGACCGCTTTTTTTGACGAACGCAAAATTTAAGGACTAAGGCGAATATGTAAACCTTAACGCAAGAGTTCAATTTGAAAAACGACAAATAGTTTCTGCATATTTATTTTTTTCCGTTCGATATTTGTTTGCGATTTGCTTTTTTTCCGTTAAAAACACACAAAATAAATTTAACAAATTTTGGCTATTTCCGTTTTTGTATTCTTTTTTGTTTGACTTTTGGTTTTGAATTTCAGTTTTCACTTCTGGTGTTGCATTTTCTGTTTCGTTGCTCTATTTTCTGTTTGTTATCCTGTTATCGGTTTCAGTTACGGGTTTTATCTCTTGAATTCTGCTATTGGGTTGGGATTGTATGGAGGCGGGTTGTAAGGCTATTTCTGGTTCTGATTCTGTTTCGATTGGCTTCGGTTGCTATTTTCGTTTGTTTCGGTTGCTTTGCTCTGTTGCTTGTTATGTTTTGTTAGCTATTTCGTGTGGCTATTTTCGTTTGTTGATTTGGTTTGCTGGTTTGTTGGGTGTTTCCTTTTGGTTGTGTTATTCCTTATTTGTTGCGCTTTGATTTATTTCTCTGTTTAGTTTGTTTAGTTATGCTCTTTATTATGGTTACAATTTTTTATATTATTGCTTTTGCTCTTGTTATTTGTTGTTCTATTAATTTTTTGATTTTGTAGTTGTTATCGGTTGGTTGTTTGTTGCAGTGGTTGTAATTGTTGCTGTTATTGTTGTATTTGTTGTTGCGGTGTTTGTAGTTGTTGTATTCCAAATTTTGTTGTGAATTTTGTTTGTTAAATTTTGAGAAACTAACTAAAAATCACTTTTTGTTTTTTCATACAACTGAAAGTTAACTTTAATTTGTTGTACTATTTTCTTTTGTTGTTGTTGTAGTTGATGTTATAAAATTTTTTATCGTTGAATTGGTTGCGTTAAATTATATTCAAATCATTAATAAGAATGTTAGAAATGAAAAGGTAACAGATGGCAAATAAGTTATTATCGTTGTCGTTTATTATTTTATTACATTTGTATTATAATTAGATCTTCGTTCCGTTCGTTTGGTATTATACTGACAGTATTATAGTGATTATATTATTATTTGTTTAAACAAAACAATATTTCAGTAAGTATCAACAACGTTTTAACGTAATGTTTAAAAATGTTCCAAACAGTCAAAAAGCACCTGCAAAAGAAGAAGATGTCCAATTAGTGGCTTTTAGAGTAACAGCAGTTTTCGCAGATATTGGACCTGTACATTTTTACAAGTAGCAATGGAAAACTGCTTAGACTATAACTAATTGAGCTCTTTATAAATAACACATCCAAAGAAAACTTAGTTCATCGTGCCCCACGGCTCTTGTTTCAGGATTCCTTCTTTTTACTTATCGCGCTTCCTGTTGCCTTATAAAATCAACACATGGCATAGACCCCCCACCCACACACACAATCTCACCCTCAGACACATCTACACCCACAAACTAGTCACCACACCACCCACTTCTCTTCTATTCCTAACCCTAGACACCAGTGTTTTGTATAGGGGCACGCATTGTCTAAACATCGGAGAGGACCCCAAAGAGAGCCCCACGAGAGAGAGAGGGCGCAAGGACAAAGCCGGAAAGCTGGAAAATATGGGAAACTAAGCGAACAACACAATTTTCAAGTTCAAAACGCCGCCAGATGATGGCCCCGCGAGGGTGGGTCATTGTGGGTGGTAGGCGCAGAAAACAAAGCAAACCCATCCAAACTAAGCAAAACAGGCAACTTGTGATACGATCTAATGCAGACAATAGCAGTCGAAAAAGCTGCGGCAACGCCAGCTAAATAAAAGTTGGGCGACGCCGACTGCACTTAGTGCGGGCAGATTTATGGATAGCGATACAACTCACACGAATGCAGAGCCACAGATACACGGCTTGCTTCTTTTTTGCCGTGAAACGGAACACAACGGGTAAGTGAATCAACCGCCGGCATCGCCAATTCCACCCGCCAAACACAAAAACACAAAAGTTCCGAATAGTTGAACAGAAATAGTTGAACCGCATCGGGGAGAGTCAATATCCGTAGATGCGGCAGATAGCTCGCTCTGCTTTTGGGCTGGGCAAACTAACGAGTCTATACTGGCTACGAATTTGCCATTTTATAGCCATCCAATGCTTCCCATGAAGCTGAAATTGTCTGCTTGGTATTCCATCTGACGGGCTTCGGTCTTTACGATCATCACTTGCTTGAACTTAATTAAATTATTTACTTCAGATTTTCAAAAACACTTATCATATTTTACACAATCACACTCGAAGTTCATTCAAACTTCAACAACTCCAACTATGAATACAATTAGCTATGCCAATATTTAAAAACTCTATTGCCAATAAAAAAGGTCGGTTTATAAGGAAAAATTCTGGACCAAAGATTGCAAAAATAGCACTGCGGGAATAGCCCTTTTCCCGGAAGACCCAGAACGCAGAAGATTGGGTAGCCTTCGAACCAGAATAGAAACACGGAACTACGTTTTCTTTGGGCGCGCGAAATTGCTGGAAAATCGCGCGAACACTCCAAGAGCCAGCGAGCTCCGCGAAACGCACCGAAAACGGCCAAAAAGATGAATATGTGCAAAAATCTTTTGCATACGCTCAAGAACCCATGAAAGCGTCGACGGCCAAGCCGAGGCCTCAGTCGCGGTCGCTGCCAGCGTTGGCGTCGGCGGCCGCAGGAGCCATGAGAGCAGAGAGAGCTAAAAAGAAACTGAATAAACCTTCTTATGCAAGCGTGGAAGGGGGAGGGGGCTAACGGGCGGTTGGCGCACAAAGCTTTTTACGGACATTCGCGCTCAGACAACAACAACGAAGCGAAAATTGAACGAAGCGAGTCCAAAAAGACGACGAGAACTTGGCCCACGCCACCCCCCGCCCCCAGAGAGTGGACCCGCGAGAGAGTCAAGTGCTCCGAGAGAAGAGCGCTGCTCAAGCCCAAGACTCTACCCGTGTGTATGTGAGAGATGGACAGAGAGCAATGGCATAGAGAGTGAGACAGCAAAAGGGGGGCAGGGCACATCACCAGCACAGCAAAAGCAAAGCAACAAAAAGCGTCGGCAAAAAGTTCGCAAAAAACAACTTGGCGGTGTAGGCGTGTGTGGATGTGCTTGTGCTGTATCTACATCTGTGCACACTGATTCTCGTCCGTGTGCATCTGGGCGAGTGTGTGTGCGTGTCGCGCGACTCGCATGAGTCCCGCGGTCGACGTACGCGTCGCTGCGACTGCGGCCTTGCGTCGCGTGCCTTTGCAGCTGAAGTTTTGCTGCCCGTTTTGGGTGCCCGTGCCCCGACCTCCGCCCGCAGAAGGTTTATCCGGCCATGGGTGGGAGAGGGGCTGTGTCTGGTCACCAGGGGAGGTTAGTTCAACCCCCTCCCCTCTGCGCAGATCCCCCGGCTGGCCGTCTGGCGTTACTTTTGGCGGCAGCGCGTGAAAGTGTTACGATTTGGAAACTGGCCGAGCTTAGAAGTGGGTAAATCAGTCGCATTCGCCGGGGGTCGGAAGCGGAGGCAGGGTTTCCACGCGCCAAAATTGTAGTCCTGACTTTAACGCCATGTTAGCAGCCAATTGAACTAATTAACTTCTGTCAACCATCCATAACTCCACCATCGTCTGCCAGTACACAAATCGAGTGGACTTATAGTTGCTAAGATCATTTTTTGAAAGCCAAACGTTTAGCTGTTTAATTTAGCTTTTCATTTGGTTGTTACACAAACAATATGCACGACTCACGAGAAGCAAATAAACCTTATTTGTCATAAATTCCAAAACTTACCCGTTTGTTAAGAATCGCTTCAAAAATTTTCGGGTCATAATACCGAGATAGCGAAATCAACATATTTGAGAATGTATTGATATAAACCGAAACAATTATGGAAAAATAAATCCTAAGGTCTATGTTGTGGATGTTCGCTTGTCATTCCCGCGGCTGATTCTACTACTCAATGGAAGCATATGCCAAATGCTATATATAAACTTATCTCCATCGGCTGCGTTGGCTTAATCAGCCGGCGTTGTTGTTGCGCCTGGACAACGGGGGGCTCCGTCCTATCCGGTACTATCAGTAGAAAAACAAAAGTGCTCACTTATAAATATTTATTAAAAACAAAATGATAAAGCCAATTGAATCGCAGCCAAACAACAAATGTCGTCGAACGTACAATGGCAAATGCTAACCGGCTAATTTCCAGAATGCGAAATAGTCGGTCTGTGTCACTCTGCTCAATTTTAGCTTAACTTGAAAATTTTGACAGACAGGACATTAAAAGGTCGCCTAACTCCCGTATTCATCCCCCCTCCGCAAATCCTTCCGACCTGCGATACTCTCGTTCACGCTGTCCACTATTTCGATGATGTGCTGTTGGTGGTTCATAATTCCTTGGACTTTCAAAGCGTTCTGCTGAATGGCTAAGCTGTGGGCCTGTCTGAGGTCGGTCGAGCTGTCGACCTCGGTCAGATTGGGTGACTTCTTTCCACTGCAGACGAGGAAGCTGGGCTTCCCGCAAAGGCTTAGGTCAACTGCCTGAGCTCCACTCTCGCCATCTGCCGGCGTCTTGGCCAGTCGGACTTTCTGCCGACAACCCTTGGGCGAGGGCCCGAAAATTTGGGATTGTGATTTACTCATTGTGTTGTGTTCTATATTAGAAGTTTGACGCAAGTGAATTGCTGCACTGTATTTGATAAAGACATTGACGTTTTAACCCAGCTTGCTTGAGAGTTACTTTTTACTGAACGAACCCAAAAAGACTAGTTCTGCTATGAGGTATTGCTTTCCGATCAGATGCTAACAGCCGTGGAATGGGCATCTGCTCCTCATGACCAAGAAGAGCGCCTTCAATCCCACTCATAACGGTGGTCGTGTTCGAACCTTCCGCCAGCAATATAAACTTTCCCTGCGGCATATCCCAAAATACAACGTTTGGTGGATTGTGGAGCTGGACGTGTTAAGGAAGGACGTCCTCGAGAAGGAAAACGACGTGGAGGTCTTGGAGGAGATTCTTCTGAACCTGCAGAGCATACGTCAGCAGGGAACGCTACTTCGAAGGGCTTTTGGCTGGTCTCTGAATTCAGAGTTTCCTCCTTAAAGTGAGGCACCGTCGCCGTCTAAGCCGTGAAGCTTGGCAACGCCGCACAGCACAGCCAACAATAGACACTCTCGTTTGGCGCCAATACGAACGACAACAATGTACAACACCAGAGCACTCTGCTGAGAGGGCACGTCAAGTGCAGAGAGAGTCCGAGTCCGAATCGGAAAGGAGCGGGGGTGGCGGGGGCGATAGGAGTGTGCACAAAAACATTTGCCGGCTGCTTAGTTTTTTTGCCGGTGCAAAAAGTCGACAGCGAGAGAATGCCGAAAGCTTAGACTCTCCCCCTGATTTAGTTTCGGATTCACATTCACATTCGCATTCACATTCGGATTCCGATTTCGACCTCACCCTGCCCCTCATTACCACCCCGGTGCCTCATAAGCGTCATCACCATCGCCAAGTCACACACTGCGTATACATAATCCAAATAAAAAGCTATCTTCAAATAGTTGTTGCTCCGGCAACTAGCATTTGTTGTTTTTAGCATAAGTGTATCTGGCGTAGGGTTTGGCATCGGGACAATGTGAGAGCGCCCTGCTAAATCATTTTTTTTGTTTGCCCGCTCGTGAAAGTGGCAAAGATCGAAGGTACACATGTGCTGCCACGGCAAATGCTCTCTGTTTTTTTGGCCGTATCTGCTGATAAGGCGCCCTTTTCTTTACTGCTCCGCTCTGATATGCTCTAATCTTATCGCGAGCGAAAAGCGCACTTCATGAAATACTCCCCAGCGCGTATTCTTTTCGGCTTTTTGCCAAAGTAGTTAACTCAAATATTAGGTCACACAAAAAGCCGGTTTCTGTTGTATTCTGCTGTTCTTGTTGCTGGCGCTGTTATCTTGTGTGGAGCTTGCATATGTGGGTGAGCTTTGCTCGTGTGTGAGCTGGCAAGCCGGTTTCGGACGTGGTTGCTTTTTGCGACTTTGTCGACTTTGGCTATGTAAATTTCAGACGGCCCGCTCCCTGCAAAGTATTTGGTCCAAGTGCCAACAGAAAGAGCAACAAGAGAAATGGAACGCTTAAAAGATGAATTTGGCAGGCAGAACAGACTGTGGGGTTTTCCTGATGGCCTTCATCTAAATTCGCAGAGTTCCGTAAATAATGACTATTTTTATTTTTTAATTAAGGAAATCACTCACATATGAAGGACCTAGAAAAGAATGACTCACCCAATTCTCTTTGTATCTCTTTGTAATATAATTTACAGAATATTCTGCAAGCGTATATCAACTTCGGCTCCGCCCGAAGTTAGCTTTCCTTTCTTGTTTTTATTAAAAATAATGATTAGTTATTTTAGCATGATAGCACAAAATCATGTGATTTAGTAAAGGCTGACAAACAATGTACATAATGGCAATCATATCTTAAGAAAAAGTTCATGAAGACAGGTTGCTTGTTTCTGCTAAAGGTATTTAAGTATTACTCAAGTTAACCAAATGAATTTTCTTTTTATACCCTTGCAGAAGGTATTATAATTTTGGTCAGAAGTTTGTAACGCAGTGAAGGAGACGTTTCCGACCCTATAAAGTATATATATTCTTGATCAGGATCAATAGGGGAGTCGATATAGCCATGTCCGTCTGTCCGTCTGTTTCAATACCGTTTGCGAGCTCAGTTTAAAAGCTAGTGATCTGAAACTTTCACACTCGTCCTAAAACATACGCAGATCAAGTTTGAAAATCGCCCCGATCGGACGTCTATATCCTATAGCTCCCATAGGAACAATCGGATATATCTAGCAAGAATTGATGATATTTCGCGCAGTGTAAAAGCTATTGACATGAATCTTTCCAAATCGTATTTTTTTATGCATACCTTGATCAGGGTAAAAGCGCTTGCCGATCGGACGTCTATATCCTATAGCTCCCATAGGAACAATAGGGTAAAATCGGTCCAAATTTTATGTTTTTCAGAATATTTCGCGCTGTGTAAAAGCTTTTGCTATAAATTTTTTCAAATCGTATTTTTTTATGCATTCCTTCATCAAGGTAAAAGCGCGTGCTGATCGGACGTTTATATCCTATAGCTCCCATAGGAACAATCGGATATAACTTTCAAGAATGGAAGATATTTCGCGCAGTGTAAAAGCTATTAACATAAATCTATCCAAATCTTATTTTTTTATGCATACCTTGATCAGGGTAAAAGCGCTTGGCGATCGGACGTCTATATCCTATAGCTCCCATTGGAACAATAGGGTGAAATCGGTTAAAATGTAATGATTTTTAGGATATTTCGCACAGTATATAAGCAATTGACATGAATCTTTCCAAATCGTATTTTTTTATGCATACCTTGATTAGGGTAAAAGCACGCGACGATCGGACGTCTATATCCTACAGCTCCCATAGGAACAACAGGGTGAAATCGGTCCAAATTTGATGATTTTCTGAATTTTTCGCGTAGTGTGTAAGCTACTGACATACATTTTTCCAAGTCTTATTTATTTACGCATATCTTGATTAGGGTAAAAGCGCTTGCCGATCGGACGTCTATTTCTTATAGCTTCCGTAGGAAAAATAGTTAAAGGCTGCGAAAGTATCCCTTTTTATACCCTTGCAGAGGGTATTATAATTTTGGTCAAAAGTGTGCAACGCAGTGAAGGAGACATCTCCGACCCTATAAAGTATATATATTCTTGATCAGGATCACCTCCTGAGTTGATATAGCCATGTCCGTCTGTCCGTCTGTCCGTCTGTCTGTTTCTACGCGAACTAGTCTCTCAGTTTTAAAGATATCGAATTGAAACTTTGCACAAACCCTGAACTTTGCACAGACCTACCGAATTTCATGAGAATCGGCCGACTATATCCTATAGCTGCCATATAACTGAACGATCGGAAATGCCTTAACTTTGGTGTTTGTAAAGTTAGGAAGTTGGGATTTTTTATGAGTATTAAGAATGCATCATATAAATAATTTTGGAGAATATAATTTACAGAGTATTCTGCAAGGGTATATCAACTTCGGCTCCGCCCGAAGTTAGCTTTCCTTTCTTGTTTAAATTCAAACGCGCCAAAAACAATGCAATGTCAGAAGGAGACCTTACTTTTTTCTTTTTAGAGTTCTTAAGGCATTTTTATTGTAATACAAAGCTTGAGCTAAATAAATCAACCTTACAAAATTTCTGAAATAAAATTTTGTGAGGAAAAGTTTAAAAATATATATTATCTAAATAGTATAATTCGCTTCTCATTAAAAGAAAATGTTTTAGTGCTAAACTAATTTTTTAAAATGCATTAGTTTAGTCGAACCTATAATAATTTTCAGTCACAAAATCTTATTTAAAAAAAGATTTGGTATGTTGAAGGTGCGATTGTCACGACTTTGTTACGAAGTGTTTTTGTGTGATTTAAAAAAAAAGAATTAGAGTCTTTAATTTTGAAAAGCGGAAAGCCAAATAAATGATACCTAAAGGATATATATTTCTTAGTAAACATATTTCCGGCAAAGAGCATCGATTAGCCAGGAGCGAAATTTAATAGAACCCAGATGCAGAACCCACACAGGCACATATTATTTCATGTGTGGGCATATAGACAGGCGATTACCATTTTCGTAATTTTCAGTAAAAAGGCTTTTAATTTGATGGGAAAACATAAAGGAGTTGACCAGGACCCAAAAAGCCCTCACGGGGACTTCATACGTACATACGTAGGTTGCCCCAGGATAAATTCCAGCGCCACAATACCATCGCCATCACCAGCAGCAGCAGCATACCAATACCACCCACCAACCACCCCTGGATTGGGGCAGTAGCTGGCTCTCGTTCAGGATATGCAGATAACTGTAAATAACCGATTATATGCACATATATTTCCGCACCTATGTGCCGTACACATTTTTATGTATGCAAGTATATCGCGGCACATATGTACAGGGCAGAGTTTAAGCCCGTTGTCGTTGTTGTTGCTTAATTTACAGCCTTATGTCACTTTTTGGTGCATTACACTTTTTCATTATCGCGCAGCAGCACCCAAAAACAGAGAGAGCGAAAGGAAGCGAGCCCCACCGCTCCCTCTCGCTCTCTCCGTGTCGGCTGGCTATGGCTATCTCGCTCTGCAAAAGTCCGAGGAAAAGTGAAAGAGGAGCAAGAGCGCACATCAAAGGGAAATGAGTTTTCATTTAGTCTCATACAAAAGCGGAAATGAATCGAAATAAATAAATAAATGGCACCTGTCCCAGCCCGCCGAGCACTCGGCTACCCACTCCACACCCACTCGCATTACATACGATCCCCCGCTATCCCCCTTTCACCATCCATGGGTAGTTCCCATGAGAAATTTCCCGCATGCGCAGGGAGAGATGGCGGAAGAATGCAGCAGCAATCGGCCGTCTCGCTCTGGCACGGCGTGCATTCAACCCGGCAACGCACCTGAGCAGCCCCTGCGCTCCCACCACCCACCGCCACCCACAGCTGCCCACTGCAATCAGCCCCCTTCGAGGCGTTCTCATTTTCGCGCTGCATTCCGCTTCGACGAGTGTTCTTTTGGCCTTTTTGCAGCGGAAAGCCGAACTGAACGCGCTTCTTGTTTGTTTTTCCCGGCGACAAGCCCCCGGTTCCACCCACGGCCCCCCGTTTTGTTTTGCTTT